CTACTTAACTGTCTATCATTGATTAATGTGCTTGTCCCTATTTGCTGAGTCTATTCCTGATTTTAAAAGCTAGAGTCTCCTAAGCATATATCTTCCTGCTTCAAAATGGTTTTCCTATATATATTTATATATATATATATATATATATATATATATATATATATATATATATATATATATATATATATATATATATATATATATACCTATACAGTATTTCAACGCGTTGGAGTGGGTTACCAGCATCATTCGCTGAACAGATATATTTGGCTTTCAGGCATGGATGATTAGCTACCGGAGCGCGCTAGAAGAACTTGGATTAGATAGATAGTTTTGCCTTTCGGCCTGCGTGCCATGACGTTGTATTGAGGATAGTTAGTTAGTTTAGCCTGTGCATCTGAGTTCTCCAGCTCAGATGTGGCATAGCACCCCGCACACTTATGTTTAGTAATGCTCTGTTTGGGATTTAATAAGAAATTACCTTTATTATATAAGTTTTAAAAGTTTCAAAATTTCGGGGTGTTATAGTTGGTATCAGAGCCTAAGTTTGACCCTAGGATAAGATTCTTAAGACCAGATTTTAGGACATTAGGCTTAAACTCTAAGAGCTCAGGAACATAGGATTTAGGAAACATAGGACGCGCGGTGAGATTGTGAGACCCCTAAAACTTTCCCTCACACTAATTCTGTAACACCCCAAAATTTTGGAACTTTTAAAACTTATATAATAAAGATAATTCCTCATTAAATCCTGAAATATACATAAGAGTATGGGGTGCTATGCCACACCTGAGCTAGAGAACCCAGGTGCACAGGCTAACTAACTAAAATCCTCAATGATGTCAATACATAAGGATGGCACGCAGACCGAAAGGGAAACTAGCTACTCTACGCTCCAAATCTCTAGCGCGCTCCAGTGTCTACTCATCTGTGCCTGAAAGCCAACTATATCTGTTCAGTGAGAGATGCTGGTAACCCACTCCAACGCGTTGAAATACAATATAGGTATATATACATATATAGATATAGGAAAACCATTTTGAAGCAATAAGATATATACTTAGGAGACTCTAGCTTTTAAAACCGGGAATAGACTCAACAAATAGGGACATGCACATCAAACAGTAATAAATAGTTAAGTAGAGATAACATCATAAGGAGTGCACAACTAAGTTCATAGTTCACTTTTCAATTCAAACACATCATCATTCAATCATCAATCATATCACATTATCATTGATGGCGCCACGGGACCAATCGCATGCCCCGAACATGAGGGTTAATGCTTATAGCATTAACACGGTCCCGCAGCACCCTACCTCAGTACCGTGGTATGAGGGGAGTTGATCGCAACCAACCCTTTGAGAACCGCTAACGAACTCAACGTCGGACCACGATCCGGCTCACCGCTGACGCACCCAGTCGGTGGACCATAGCGGATCAAGCCCGGCTTACCGCTGAGCTATACTCAGTCGGTGGGCGAAGATCCTCGGAGACTATGGCCCTACACACCGCTGTCCCATCGTTCGGTGGATCGCAGCCAGCCGTAGCCCTACACACCGCCTGATTACTCAGGTCGGTGGACTACAGCCTTCCTCGGCTTATTGGCCCTACACAACGCTTGGCGCGTTCAGGTCGGTGGGTCATAGCACCGAGGCCCATAGTTGGACCGCAGCCCAAGAAGTGTATCAATTTGGCCTTAGCCACTTCTGAGCCATAGCTCAGGAACAATCCATTGGCCTTCAGCCACTTCCAAACCTTCAGTCCGGGAACAATCCATTCGGTCTTCAACCGACTTCCGAACTTTAGTGTGGGAACCACCCAATTGGCCTATAACCAAAATGGGGGATCATGCAACACATAACACATAGGAGCACGTAGTAGCACATTGGGAGGGGAACGACATATAAACAAACTTACGTGTGATCATTCACATGCTAAGAATAGTCCTAAGGGTTCATACAACTTCCACCTAGGTCAACGGGTTACCACTTCAACTCGCATGCAATCCCTAAGACTCATCTAACCTACGAATGGTACCCGAAACATCAAACTAGACTCAAGCACGACAAACGGGGTCCATTGGGACACCATGGGGAGCGGGGAACATCAAACGGGGAAGCCAAAGACCCGGGGTGGGGTACGAACCAGCGGGTAGCGATGGGTGGAGGGCCACCCGCCGGCTGCCCGCCGGAGAACAATGTTCCGGGCAGCGGGTCGCCGGCGGGCAGGCGGCTGCCAGGTGGCCGGCCACCCGCTGCCGGGCGGTGTTCTTCGGGCAGCGGGTAGGTGGCGGGTTCCCCTACCCCCACCTACCCCCACTGACTCTTTTATCAAATATTTGTCCCGGGAACCTTCGTGGAACCCGGAACCATGCTTAGACACTTTTAAACCCAAATAACGACACCACTTAAGCAATTAACGGATCTGAAAGCAAGAATCACGTAGGACTTATCCTATTACGACTTCTAAGTATAAACAACACCCGAACATGCAAATTCCCACCCAAATATAAATCAAGATCATCACAATACAAATTCCCAATCCAACCTAGGGCTCTAATCCCACCCAAATCATCAAGAACATATTTTATTTTTAACATCAAGAAATATCAAGATTCGTCAAGAATCATCACATCAAAATAAAGAACTTCTTTTCAGCATCAAGATCATCAAGATTATCAAGAAAGCACATAAATCATCTTATCAATCATCAAGGAACATAACACAATTATCATAGAAGAATTCATCAAGACACAGGAATATAGAGGGAGGCCAATGAAGGAGATTATAGCGAAGAAAATAGGTTTTGTTGAGACATGGGTTACCTCTTAGCCTTAATTAATTTCCTTGGCTATGAAGGGTCTTTCTTTAAGCTTTCTTCTTTCTTGATTTCTCCTAAGGGGATTCTTGGAACTTCTTGTGTGGTGAGAGATTATTGTGGTGTAAGATCTAGGTTCCTCCTATGACCCTATATATATATATATATATATATATATATATATATATATATATATATATATATATATATATATATATATATATATATATATATATATATATATATATATATATATATATATATATATATATATATATATATATATATATATATATATTCCTAAGAGTCCTAATTGGGGTCTAAATACTATGTGCTTGCTAATTCTATTCCTTATAGGATTAAGGAGTTGGTTATAGGGATGTGGGCCCATGGACTATGGTGGACCTTTCTTAGTTGATTAATGGGTTTTTAATTCTCTTTTTAGGGTAAGTGATTAAATATTTAGTTAGGGTTAGGGGTCGTAACACGGGGTGTTACACACTCCCCCCTTACAAGAGGCTTCGTCCCCGAAGTCGGTGCGTGGATCCACTCTTTCACCCCTAGACGTCACGTATTTTGGCCTCCTGGTTAGGACATGTAGATCCACGTGCTGTCTTCGTTGGGGTAGACTGGATTTTTTTGGTGCGGTGGTGGTTTTGGAGGGTTCGGGTCTACCTTGGTTTCCTGCTCCTGAGCTGGATGCCCCGCGAGTGCCCAGCATGGTCTAGATAGTTTCCACCCTTTGATCCAAATCGTGTGTTGCGCGGATTAGGGACGAGAATCCCTCGTCCATGATTTGGTTCTGCCGGGTGAGCTGCGCGAGGATGCGTTCGTTGACGGATTCTTCATTTTGGCCCCTTGGGTTTCCTCTTGCTTGTGCGAGCGCCGGTGGGTTCGGCTCGCTATCTTCTTCTTGTTCCTCATTTTCCCCCGGTTCCCCACATTCTTGCATTGCCCGCTTAAGTTTTTTGTTGGAGATATCCAACTGATCCACCAATTCCCTTCGTTCCCCCTCGGGTTTAAGGCAAATCTCTTCGAGGGTGATGTTCCGTCCCCCTTCGGTGTAGTAGATGTCATTGCGATGGAGATTCTGAGCATTAAAAACCATGCCATTTGCGGTTTTGACCTCAGTGTGGCTCAGATCCACCCCATTTTTCTCCATGATCCAACTTAGGATCATCCCGTAGGGTAGGCTAAGCCGGTTGCTAGTTTTGCAAAACTCCATGTGTTTCAACATGAGGGCCGGTAGATTGAACTTGATTTTGTGCTTTAAGAGATAGGCAAAAGTACACTCCAAACTCCCCACATCTTTGCTTTTTTTATTTGTGCGCAAAAGGCTATCAGTCACAATCATAACCAATATCTTTTGCTCCACGGTTAGCCACTTCCTATTTGGCCGTGTAGCCGAGGTGAAACCTTCCTCCTTTCCGAGTAGGTACCCGAGGTAATCCTTGTACCCCGTATTTTGGGTACCAATCCACCCTTTCCGGTCATAGTCAGACACACCCGTGGTGGTCAAACTTAAGAGTTTGGCCAAACGGCCTTCGGAAAGTATGATTTCCTTGCCTCGGACCTTAGTGGTGATTTCTAGTTTATCAACTCGTTTGATGGCCACCAAGTGTTGATAGAACTCCTTCACCAATTCGGGGTACGTATCCCCTTTAATGGTGAGATAAGTATCCAAAAGCCCATTGGTGGTTGAGCATGTCGACCAATTCCGGAGAAAATTGATCGGGTTCGAGTGCTTTACCTCCGATAACGGTGTAGCCGACGTTGTTCCAATCCGGGGTGCGGATTCTGAGGGGCTTTTTCGGCATTTTCTTGAACTTTTCTTCTAGGTGGCGTTTTCCGGCGGACGTCCGGCGAGATTCCGACGAGGGTTCCGGCGGTACGACTTCTCCGGCGACACGGGTTTTTCGGCGGCAGCGAGGGGCGGCATGGCCCGTCAAGGTAGCGGTGGTCTTGGGCGGTGCCGGGGTTGGCAGTGGGCAACGTCAAGATGGCTGTTGGCGGCTCGGTTGGTGGCGGTGGCTTGGAGGGTGTTGGTTGGCGTCGGGTGTGTGTGTTGGTCGGCGGAGAGGTGAGGGGGAGAGAGAGAGAGAGAGGGTGTGTGGGGAAGAAGAAGAAGGGTTTTTGATTTGGGGGTTTTTGTGGGTTTTAGGGACTTGGAGGGATTTGAGAAGGGAGTGTTCCCTTAGGGTTTTAAGAAACACTTATAGCTTAGTGGTTAAGGCTTTGATTTATAAGTGGGAGGTCCATGGTTCTATTCCCATTGGTCGCACTAGTCTTCCTTGTTGTGTGTTCTTTGTCTTTTTCCTTCTTTTTGTCTTCTAGTGGTAGGGAATTTGATTGGTCCTCCTTGTGGTTGTTCGTTTCCCCTATTTATGCTAAAATATTTCGATCTTATTTAAAATAATTTCGAAGTGGCTAAACTAAACAAGTAGTTTTACTATAAGGGTGGTTACAGGGGGTTTCTTAGGTTATCCTAAACAGAATTCATCTTCTTGGTTTTCCTCTGGTGGATTCGCATGATCCTCGTCTTCCGGGGTCATGTTTTCTTCGTTGAGGTTGCCCTCGTTCCCGAGTTCGGCTTGTGTGCGGCTCATGATGAATACTTTTCTGGGGCACCGTGGTTCCCTTGGTTGCTTGTGCCTCCGTGCTGGCCCATGTTCATGGGGAGTGAGCTTGAGGGTTGTAAGCAGTGGAAGGCCTTGTGTCCTTCTTTTCCACAGTTGAAGCACCGCAAGAGGTTCCCAATGCAGTCCCTGCCTCTATGGCTTTGGTTGCATTTTGGGCAAGGGAAGCCCCCTGTATTGGCTTCGTTGTATCTTGGGGGTGGTTTTTGTCCAGTTGGGTTGTTTGGCCTTCTGTTGGTGTCCGTTCTCGTTCTCTTTTTTGGTGGTGCACCTCGTCCTGTGTTCCTTTTTTGAATCTGATCTTGAACCCCACGTTGTAGTGGTTGGATTCGGTAGAGGTTGGCAGCACTGGAGTAAGCCACGTTGAGGGTCCGGGGCCCGCTTACTACTAGTGCTTTCCGAGCTTCGAAGTTGAGGCCCGATACAAACCTTTCTATTTTTGTTAATTCTGTGGGGACTAACTCTGGCGCGAAGCGTGCCAGTTCGAGGAATGGTTTATGGTATTGCGTGATGGTAGTCGTTCGTTGTTTTAGGTGGAGGAACTTTTCGTGCATAGAAGCTTTTACGTGTGTCGGGTAGAATCGTTCTCGCAGGCGTGTTTTCAGGTTTTCCCAGTTGAATCCTGGTTCTTGCCTGTAAGTGGGTCCCTTGTGGATCCACCAAAGGTCTGCCTCGTGTCCGAAGTAGAACGAGGCTATCTCTACACGACGTTCTTATGGGCATTCTACCAACCCCAGAATCTTGTGGAAGGTCCGTATCCATTCTTCGAGGATGACGAGATCTTCTTCTCTTGAGAACGTGGGTGGTCGATGGTTTGAAACTTGTCGGACGACTTCTGAGTTTGCGTTCGGTGGAGGGAGTGGTGGCCTGTTGTTGCGGAGGGCTACGTCGCTTAGTGCTTGGGCGACTTGGGTGAGTTGCTGTAGGGTTTGAGCCAGGGGGTCGTGTGTGGTGGGTTCCGGAGTCCTTGATTGTCTTCTGTTTGGTGCCATGTTGCTTGATCTATAGAGTCAATGTTTATAGTGGTTTAGAGGGTTGCACCCTTACCTTGGTGTGATAAGCGAAGGGGGTTTCTTTAAATTAGGGAGGGGTAATGTGAGGGGAGGTCATGTGTAGGTTTCTCAATCTCACCGCGTGTCTTAAGATTTCTGAGTCCTATGTTCCTAAATTCCTAGAGTTCAAGCCTAATGTCCTAAAGTCTGGTCTTAAGAGTCTTATCTTAGGGTCAAACTTAGGCTCTGATACCAACTGTAACACCCCGAAATTTTGGAACTTTTAAAACTTATATAATAAAGATAATTCCTCATTAAATCCCGAAATATAACATAAGAGTATGGGGTGCTATGCCACACCTGAGCTAGAGAACCCAGGTGCACAGGCTAACTAACTAAAATCCTCAATGATGTCAATACATAAGGATGACACGCAGGCCGAAAGGGAAACATGCTACTCTACACTCCAAATCTCTAGCGCGCTCCAGTGTCTACTCATCTGTGCCTGAAAGCCAAATATATCTGTTCAGCGAGAGATGCTGGTAACCCACTCCAACGCGTTGAATTACAATATAGGTATATATACAGATATAGATATAGGAAAACCATTTTGAAGCAAGGAGATATATACTTAGGAGACTCTAGCTTTTAAAACCGGGAATAGACTCAGCAAATAGGGACAGGCACATCAAACAGTAATAAACAGTTAAGTAGAGATAACATCATAAGGAGTGCACAACTAAGGTCATAGTTCACTTTTCAATTCAAACACATCATCATTCAATCATCAATCATATCACATTATCATTGATGGCGCCACGGGACTAATCGCATGCCCCGAACATGAGGGTTAATGCTTATAGCATTAACACGGCCCCGCAGCACCCTACCTCAGTACCGTGGTATGAGGGGAGTTGATCGCAACCAACCCTTTGAGAACCGCTGACGAACTCAACGTCGGACCACGATTCGGCTCACCGCTGACGCACCCAATCGGTGGACCGCGATCCCCTTTACAAGGGGGGACTTACAACACTACACACCGTCGATGCGCACAGTCAGTGGACCATAGCGGATCAAGCCCGGGTTATCGCTGAGCTATACTCAGTCGGTGGGCGAAGATCCTCGGAGACTATGGCCCTACACACCGCTGTCCCATCATTCGGTGGATCGCAGCCAGCCGTAGCCCTACACACCGCCTGATTACTCAGGTCGGTGGACTACAGCCTTCCTCGGCTTATTGGCCCTACACATCGCTTGGCGCGTTCAGGTCGGTGAGTCATAGCACCGAGGCCCATAGTTAGACCGCAGCCCAAGAAGTGTATCAATTTGGCCTTAGCCACTTCTGAGCCTTAGCTCAGGAACAATTCATTGCCCTTCAGCCACTTCCGAACCTCCGAACCTTCAGTCCGGGAACAATCCATTCGGTCTTCAACCGACATCCGAACCTTAGTCCGGGAACAATCCGTTCGGCCTTCAGCCGACTTCCGAACCTTAGTCCGGGAACCACCCAATTGGCCTATAAAAAATGGGGGATCATGCAACACATAACACATAGGAGCACGTAGTAGCACATTGGGAGGGGAACGACATATAAATAAACTTACGTGTGATCATTCACATGCTAAGAATAGTCCTAAGGGTTCATACAACTTCCACCTAGGTCAACGGGTTACCACTTCAACTAGCATGCAATCCCTAAGACTCATCTAACCTACGAATGGAACCCCGAAACATCAAACTAGACTCAAACACGAAAAACGGGGTCCGTTGGGACACCATGGGGAGCGGGGAACATCAAACGGGGAAGCCAAAGACCCGGGGTGGGGTACGGACCAGCGGGTAGCCGGTGGGTGGAGGGCCACCCGCCGGCTGCCTGCCGGAGAACACTGTTCTGGGCAGCGGGTCGCCGGCGGGCAGGCGGCTGCCCGGTGGCGACCCGCTGCCGGGCGGTGTTCTTCGTGCAGCGGGTTCCCCTACCCCCACTGACTCTTTTATCAAATATTTGTCCCGGGAACCTTCGTGGAACCTGGAACCATGCTTAGACACTTTTAAACGCAAATAACGACACCACGTAAGCAATTAACGGATCCGAAAGCAAGAATCACGTAGGACTTATCCTATTACGACTTCTAAGTATAAACAACACCCGAACATGCGAATTCCCACCCAAATATAAATCAAGATCATCACAATACAAATTCCCAATCCAACCTAGGGCTCTAATCCCACCCAAATCATCAAGAACATATTTTATTTTTAACATCAAGAAATATCAAGATTCGTCAATAATCATCACATCAAAATCAAGAACTTCTTTTCAGCATCAAGATCATCAAGATTATCAAGAAAGAACTTAAATCATCTTATCAATCATCAAGAACATAACACAATTATCATAGAAGAATTCATCAAGACACAGGAATATAGAGGGAGGCCAAGGAAGGAGATTATAGCGAAGAAAATAGGTTTTGTTGAGACATGGGTTACCTCTTAGCCTTAATTAATTTCCTTGGCTATGAAGGGTCTTTCTTTAAGCTTTCTTCTTTCTTGATTTCTCCTAAGGGGATTCTTGGAACTTCTTGTGTGGTGAGAGATTATTGTGGTGTAAGATCTAGGTGCCTCCTATGACCCTAGATATATATATATATATATATATATATATATATATATATATATATATATATATATATATATATATATATATATATATATATATTCCTAAGAGTCCTAATTGGGGTCTAAATACTATGAGCTTGCTAATTCTATTCCTTATAGGACTAAGGAGTTAGTTATAGGGATGTGGGCCCATAGACTATGGTGGACCTTTCTTAGTTGATTAATGGGTTTTTAATTCTCTTTTTACGGTAAGTGATTAAATATTTAGTTAGGGTTAGGGGTCGTAACACGGGGTGTTACAAATTCACACCTAATATAAAGAACTCCCCTTCGCTTATCACATCAAGGTAAGGGTACAACACTCTAACCCAACGTTACTATAAACATTGGTTCCATAGATCAGCAACATGGAACCAAACAGAAGACAATCAAGGACTCTAGAACCCACGACGCACGACCCCCTGGCTCAAACCCTACAGCAACTAACCCAAGTCACCCAAGCATTGACCGACGTGGCTCTCCGCAACAACCGACCACCTCCACCAAACATAAACTCATAAGTCGCCCGACAAGTTTCAAACCATAGACCACCCACTTTCTCGGGAGAAGAAGATCCCGCCATCCATGAGGAATGGATTCGGACCTTCGACAAGATTCTAGGGTTGGTAGAATGCCCAGAAGAACGTCGTGTAGAAGTAGCCTCATTCTACTTCGGACATGAAGCAGACCTTTGGTGGATCCACGAGGGACCCACTTACAGACAAGAACCAGGGTTCAACTGGGAAAGCCTGAAAACACGACTGCGAGAATGATTCTACCAGCACACGTAAGAGCATCGATGCACGAAGAGTTCCTTCACCTGAAACAAGGAACGACTACAGTCATGGAATATCATAAGCGATTCCTCGAACTGGCACGCTTTGCGCCAGAACTAGTCCCCATAGAGACAACCAAAATAGAGAGATTTATATCAGGCCTCAACTTCGAAGCCCGAAAAGCACTATAGTAAGTGGACCCCAGACCCTCAACGAGGCTTACTCCAGTGTCGCCAATCTCTATCGAATCCAACTATGCTTCAAAAACAGATTCGAAAAAGGGACACAGGAGGTGGGGCGCCACCTATGAAAAGAACAAGAAACAACGCTAACGCAAGGCCAAGCAATCCAGCGAGACAGATGCGACCCCCAGGAAACAACGAAGCTAATACAGGGAGTTTCCCTTGCCCGAAATGTAACAAAAAACATAGAGGCAAGGACTGCATGGGGAATCCCTTATGATGCTTCAACTGTGGAAAGGAAGGGCACAAGTCCTTCCACTGCACTCAACCCTCGAGCTCACGCCCTATGACCATGGGCCAACGCGGAGGCACGAACAATCAAGAAAATTACGGTGCCCCCGGGAAAGTGTTCGTCATGAGCCACACGCAAGCTGAACTTGAGGACGAGGGTAACCTCGACGAAGAAAACATGGTCCCAGGAGACGAAGATCACGCGCACTCGCCAGAAGAAAACCAAGAAGATGAGTTCTATTTAGGATAACTGACAAACCCCTTGTAACCGCCCTCGTAGTAGAATCGCTTGTTTAGACTAATTACTTCGGAATTATTATAAATAAAGAGCTAGATCAAAATGATATTAGCATAAGGGAAAAGAACTAGACTATCCACAACAACAACAAGGACCAACCAAATCTTCTACCACTAGAAGACAAAAGAAGGAAAAAGACAAGGAAGACTAATGTTTCCAATGGGAATGGAACCTTGGACCTCCCACTTATAAGTTAAAGCCTTAACCACTAGGCTATAAGTGTTTCTTGAAACCTCAAGGGAACACTCCCTTCTTAAACCCCTATAAATCCCTAAAAACCCCAAAATCTCCAAATCAAAAATCCTTCTTCTTCTTCCAAACACACAACTCTCTCTCTTTCCACCCCTCCAAAGCCGCCATCACCACCCTCACCTCCACAACCTGCCGTCGCACCACCGCCCATCGCCCAGCGGTCGCCGCTCGGCCCCCCGCCAGTAGATCGCCACCGCAACCGACCGGCGACACTCCGTCCGCACGCCACCGCCACAGCCCGGTAGCCCACTGCCGCTGCCGCCCGAACGCCGCCCTGCTTCCTCCTGCTGCCCACGCAACCATCTACTCCGCCTAGGACCAGCCACGCTGCGCCGCCGCCGCCGCCGGGAACCCTCGCCGGAAGACCGCCGGAGCCTCGCCGGAAAAAGCATCACCGGAAAACGCCACCGCCGTCCAAAAATGAGCCGCGCCGCCGGGAACCCTCGCCGGAGCTTCGCCGGAAGATCGCCGGAGCCTCGCCGGAAAAAGCATCACCGGAAAACGCCACCAAGAAGAAAACTCAAAGATGCTGAAAAAGCCCCTCGGAATCCGCACCCCAGAATGGAGCAATGCCGACTACACCGTGATCAGAGGTAAAGCCCTCGAATCCGACCAATTCTCTCCGGAGTTGGTCGACATGCTTAACTTCCAAGGGCTCTTGGATACTTATCTCACCACTAAAGGGGATACATACCCCGAATTGGTGAAAGAGTTCTATCATCATTTGGTGGCCGTCAAGCGAGGTGATAAACTGGAAATCACCGCTAAGGTCCGAGGCAAGGAAATCATACTTTCCGAAGGCCGCTTGGCCAAGCTCTTAAGACTGACCACCACGGGTGTGTCAGACTACGACCGGAAGGGGTGGTTCGGTACCCAAAACACGGGGTACACGGATTACCTCGGGTACCTACTCGGAAAGGAAGAAGGCTTCACCTCGGCCACTCGGCCAAACAGGAAGTGGCTAACCGCGGAACAAAAGATACTAGTCATGATTGTAACTGATAGCCTGTTGCCTACAAATAACAAAAGCAAGGATGTGGGGAGTTTGGAGTGTACTTTTGCTTACCTCCTAAAGCACAAAATCAAGTTCAATCTACCGGCCCTTATGTTGAAGCACATGGAGTTTTGCAAGTCTAGCAACCGGCTTAACCTACCTTATGGGATGATCCTAAGTTGGATCATGGAGAAAAAGGGAGTGGACTTGAGCCACACAGAGGTCAAGCCCGCAAGCGGCATGGTTTTCAATGCCCAGAACCTCCGTCGCAATGACATCTACTACACCGAAGGGGGACATTACATCACCATCGAGGAAGTTTGCCTTAAACCCGAGGAGGAACGGAGGGAATTGGTTGATCAACTGGATATCTCCAACAAGAAACTTAAACGGGCAATGCAAGAATGTGGGGGACTGGAGGAAAATGAGGAACAAGAAGAAGATAGAGAGCCTAATCCACTGGCGCCCGCACGAGCAAGGGGAAACCCAAGGGGCCAAAATGAAGAATCGGTCAACGAGCGCATCCTCGCACAGCTCACCCGGTAGAACCAAATCATGGACGAAGGATTCTCGTCCCTAATCCGCGCAACACGCGCTTTGGACCAAAGGGTGGCAACTACCGAGGCCATGTTGGGCACTCGAGGGGCATCCAGCTCAGGAGCAGGAAACCAAGGTAGACCCAAACCTTCCAAACTATCACCTCACCAAAAATCCAGTATACCCCAGCAAAGACAACACGTGGAGCCACATTTCCTAATCAGGAGGCCAAAATACGTGACGTCCAAGGGTGAAAGAATAGATCAACGCACCGGCTTCGGGGACGAAGCCTCTTGTAAGGGGGGGGGGGGGGGAGAGTGTAACACCCCGTGTTACGACCCCTAAACCAAATTAATTAATTAATCACCCACCCTAAAAAGGGAATTAAAATCCATTAATTAGCTAAAAGGGGTCCACCATAGTCCATGGGCCTTTATCCCTAAAGCCAATCCCTTAGTCCTATAAGAAATAGAATTAGCAAACCCATACCACTTAGACCCTAATTAGGACTCTTAATTATATAAATAGGGACATAGGAGGCACCTAGAACTTACACCACCATAACTTTCACCACACAAGAATTCCCAAGAATCCCCGTAGGAGAAATCAAGAAAGAAGAAATCTTAAAGAAAGACCATTCATAGCCAAGGAAATTAATTAAGGCTAAGAGGTAACCCATGTCTCAACAAAACAAATTTTCTTCGCTATAATCTCCTTCTTTGGCTCCTTCTATATGCTTGTGTCTTGATGAATTCCTCTATGCTATTTGTGATATAATCTTGATGATTGATAAGATGATTTATGTGATCTTGATGTTGAAAAGAGATTCTTGATATTAATGTGATGATTCTTGACGAATCTTGATATTTGTTGATGTTAAAGATAAAATATGATTTTTGATGTTTTGGGTGGGATTAGAGTCCTAGGTTGGATTGGGAATTTTTGTTATAATGTTCTTGATGTATATTTGGGTGGAATTCGCATGTTCGGGTGTTGTTTATATTTAGAAGTCGTAATAGGATGAGTTCTACGTGATTCTTGCTTTTGATCCATTAATTGCCTACGTGGTGTCGTTAATTGCGTTTAAAAGTGCATGTCTAAGCATGGTTTCGGGTTCCACAAGGGATCCCAGGACGAATTTGTGATAAAAGAGTCAGTGGGGGTGGCGAGCTGTCGTAGGCTCCCAAATTAAAACCTTACAAACGTAGTTGCGGGAGTAAGGATCGATCCCACGATGAGTAACTAGTTTAACTTTTGTGCTCAAATTAAAGGTAGGGGGGGGGGGGGGTTTGGAATATGATGAGAATAAAGATTAAATAAAAGAGAATTTAAATAGACAAGAAATTTAAATGAACGAATAAAGCAATAATATATCGGAAACACTTATAAATAGAAAACCTTGGTTAGTAAAGATCCACCACCGGAGTTAA